AAGCTGCAGATATGTGTTTGTATGCACATGTACATGAGTTTTAGTGGTGCTGAGGTTATATCAGCTGAGTGGTAATTATTTTATTCTGTAGGTGGGCCGATATTGTCAATGACCTAAACACCCAAAATCCAGAATATCTAGATATTAGACAGCTAGAGAGAGGACTGCAGCATCGAAAAACAAAGAAGGTAAGGTAAACTTATGAAAATGGGAGGAAATTAGTGGTAGACTTTCACAAACTTACTGCTACTTCAGCAGTGTAAGATAACGTCACCAAAAGAAATTTGTTATGACGTGTTGCTGAAGACAAAATTCAGACCTGGGTCCTTACATACCAGAGTTGTTTGTATTTACTTGCAGGACAAGATACAATACTGCAGTAGCCTGGCATGTGCTAGGATGAACCAGGATCTCCACACATACAATGTATTTGGTCACAATATTTAAGCTCGTTGGCTTAAAATGTAGCTGCAGCAAGTACAGAAATACTCTACAGACAAATTACAGGCAGATCCTTCTGTTGCATGGCCTCCTAACTACATGTAAGCAGGAGGGAACGTACAGTTGATAGGATCAAACATAGAAGAACATGTGAATGTGTCTTGTGCTGATTTACTGTCCACATACGTATCTTTCCCTCCTGTAGATAGGCCTGTATCTCATGGGGAGGGGAGGTATTTTTGATTTGCAGATTAAAAGTATGAGAAATAATAGGCTGAAGAGATTATTTCAAGTGTGGAGACCCTGTGGCAGAGCATGTCGGCAAGATGAGAAGGGACCCGAACAGATAATTTGTGTGAAAGTGGCTGGAGAGTGAAAAAAGACTAGCAGAAGATAAATTATACTAGCCCAGAAAGAGAAAAAGGATAACTTAAAAAGATGAGAATGAAGGCAATAATTGAATCTGGGAAGCAATCAAAATTGATTGAGCCAAGTTGTTTGATTGTGGATCTGTTTTTTATGGGTTTGTTTTTCGTTTGTGTGGTGGTGTGGGTTCTTTTGTTTTCTTTCTCCAAGAATTTTGTTACAACCAAAGATGTTAATTTCAAATATCTGTATGCTAGAAACATGCCCGTGTGTGTTTAACAAAGAACTTTTTCACTTTGATTAGGTTGGAGGAAATCTTCATTGCATCATTGCCTTTCAGAGACTTAACTGGCAAAGATTCGGTCCTTGGAATTTTCCATTTGGAAACATTAGACAGGACAAACAATCCCAAACACAAGGAATTTCCAAATCTGAAAGCGAAGACAATATCTCCAAGAAACAACACGGGCGACTGGGTCGATCCTTCAGTGCCAGCTTCCACCAGGAACCCACGTGGAAGAGACCTCATCTTCGTGAGAGGAGGCACAGTGGATATCAGAGCTATAATGATTATGATGGCAATGATTAAAATTTACTTTGGATAATAGAGTTGATATATTAAAGTTACTTTTAATCAAGACATATTAGGGATCTATTAGTCCTAGAATACATATGAATAGAATTATGGAATAAGATACAGCTTCGTAATTAATAAATAAATCTGATTATACGGTTGCAGTTGATGAGATCTGATGTATAAACTGACAGACAAGCACAGATTATTGTACTTTTGCAATCAAAAGTAAGTATGACAACAAAATCAATCATTTCTTTTGAAATAATTATGCTATGTTCTGATCTATTAAAAGAAAGGAACAGATTGAAATTAGTCAATATAATAAACAGGCTTCATTGAAAATACTTAGTAATCAAAAGCATGAAAACTTATGACATGACTTTACAAAAAGGGTTATTCTGTGTACGGTGTACGGATAAAAGTAAACATTGCCTTCCTTTTGAACACTCATTTTGTTAAGGCTGCCCACATCCAGCGAAAAGGAAATCACATAGGTTAGAAAACCTTGTTAGACTTACAAAGTGAATGCACGTTCTCCATTGAGTTCTGCGTAGACTTCTGTCAGTCTGCTAAACATATTTTCATCAAGCAGGTCTCAGTTTCTTTTCCCTTATCTGGGTGCCTGTTTCAGACTGAGAGGAGTGGCCTGTGGCAGGGTGAGGCTGAGGACAGGCCTGTGCTCCGTGGGTACTGCAGCTGAGTCCTGGAGCCTCTCGGGAGCACGGACTCGCCCAGCACAACCGTGTGATGGTCAGTATTAAAAAGCTGCATTTACTGTGAGCCAGGTGAGCTCGCTGAACACGGCGTGCTGGTGGCAGATCTCTTCCTCGCTCAGTCTTAAAACTTCTCATTTTTCTGCTGCTCTTTTTGTTTTGTGTGAAGAGGATGCGAGTGCCGATAACTGCTGGCAGCCCTGACATGATATACCTCTCAGCCAGCAAGCAACTCAAGCTCTCCCAGGTGTCCATGTGCAGTCTCTTCTTTTCCCTTTTTTTCACCCCTGATTTGGAATGTATCCTATTGTTTGCCCAAACACATCTCAACAGCTGTAATTTCTGTGTACAAATGTTTTACCTGCTCAAGGTTTAAATCTTGTGACATAAAAAGATTTGTCATGGAATGCGGGGGTTTTGTAGGTTGCTGCCTTTGTTAACCAAAAATGGGAAACTTTTAGACTTTTGTTCACTCAATAAAAATTTGTTTTCTATTTTGTTGTTTGCTTTGTGCTTGTCTTGACCTCAGGTGAAGGTTTTGAGGAAAGCGGGTAGGTGATGGGTCAGAATTGCAAGCCCTACTTAGCAAAGTAGTCCTGGAGGTAGGATCTCTGCTCCTAAGCCTTGTGCAGCCACTGTGACTTAACTTCTCCTGTTTTATTTTCCAAAGTCTGCAGGCTTAGGACTGAATAAAACCATAGGTCTAGAAAACTTATTTTCCAGATCAAGTATTTTCAGACTTTTATTTTTGAAAGCTCAATTTGGGCCCAGGGCTCAAGTTTTTTTAGAATACTCGAGCTGTGTTCTTTGGTGTACTTCACGCTGAAATGAGTGCTACAAATATCTTCTCAGTTTTCTATCTCTGGTATGTTCTCTGTTAACGATAATTGCCCTGGGGAACAGCGAGTACAAGAAGCCGTATTCCGAAGTAGCCGTGGTGTGAGGGGCTTCTGCTTTTACAGTTGTTTTGCCTTTGAGTCAGAGACTGTCACAACACTTCATCGGTGAAGTACATCGTGCATTTGATTCCTCCAACGTCAGCAGAAGGAGTCCCAGGGAGCTGCGGGCGGGAAGACGTCTCTGGGGATCCCCGCCTGGCGGGGAGTGCAGCACGGGGAGAGCGCAGGCTACAGAGGAACATCACGTCGAGTCCAAAGTGTGACGTCTGTTGCTGGGTCCTGGTGTTCGGCACTTTGCCTCGGACGCCCCGCGGGGGCCCGCCCG